TCTTATGAAATGTTATACGTTACACTCATCAATCTACATGTACAATTGTTTGTGATGCTAAATTTCTGGTGTTAGATTCTTTACTATTATGTATCATCCTCTTTTCTTTTCCTATAATTTTTCTTGTGACATGCATAAGATAAAGAATATGTTTTGGTAAGGAATGTGATTCAAATATTTGGCTGTTGATTGTACTTTGCAGTAGTGACTCATGTTATGAATCTCATTAAAACTGTGCATACTCATTATAAGAGGAATTAGAATTAGTGACTCAATAAATGAGTCATTTATTTTAATAATTTATACATAAACCCTAACAAATCTCAAAATAATTAAAAATGTATAATTAAAACATAAATAGTTAACAAAAGATATTTTAAGCCTATTAATTTTCAACTAAACAAATTTAATTGGGTTTTGACATTTCAATGAAATATAGTATTGTGAAGTTCATTCTAAGAAGCATTTGTGAATTATATATTAGGGAAGATTAGATATTCAAAATCCATAGCGAGAATGTGCTCAATCAGATAAGTAATTTTCATTGAAATTGAAAAAAAAAATTAGAATGAAAAAAATAATAAATAATAAAAAATTGTGAAAAGTTTGCTAAAAAAAACAATACAAGCGGCCAATCTACCGGAAAAAAAGCTGATGTGAGTCTAAAAATAAAAAATTAACGTTTAAGTTATTTTCTAACTAATAAGACGAAAAAACTCTTTGATTGAAAATGATATTCAGAAAAAAATAAGTAATTCGGGATTGTTAGTTGACTCTTAATTAATTTAAAAATAACTTTGAAAAATAAAAAAATTTCAATCACGCCAGATTAAGAGTTTTGACATCTCTTTAGGCACAAGAAGAGGGGAATTTAAGAAATGGTTAGGCTATTATAAACTAATAAAGATCAAACCATAAAATGATATTTACATGCTTTTATTATCATGTTATCTTGCTAGAGAAAATATAAGAGCTAAGAATATTATTTGAGTCTCAACTAAACATGAAATTAATTGAGGGGGAGTAATATATAAATTTGGGACAATCAATACGAGGTAAATTTATGTGATTATGTTGAGTGCTTTGTTGAGGTGACACAATTACGCCAAGTCTTGGCATAACTATGTCGTTCTCGGCAAAATTACGTTGACCACGAGCGTGATTAAGCACTGACTGCCTAAGCTTGAATTGGCAAAGTTTTTCATAGAATTTTTGAAAAGAGCAATATAAGGTGAGTTTGAGCACAACGTAAGGCACACTTAATCGTTGTGAGGGCTGCTTCTCTTCAAATTTAATACTCTTTATCAACCCTAAGGTTTTTCTCTTATGAAATGTTATACGTTACACTCATCAATCTTCATGTACAATTGTTTGTTATGCTAAATTTTTCCTCCAATGAATTTTCTCGGTGGAGATTCTTAGGGTTGTTTTTTGTTAAGTTTGGAGAGTTTGTGAGAGATTAAATATAGTTATATAAGTAAAACCTGCAAAAAACTTGTATTGAATGGAAACGATCACGGTGTATTGCAAGGGCCGATTAGCTCTGGTTTGGGTTTTCTATACTACTTGCATTAGTTCATTTTATATCCACAATAACAATTTTCATACTTTCTTTTCTCATAATCTCGTCTCCGTGCTCTTGTGATGTAAAACAGGTGATTTTCTCGTTATTTTATTCTATGGATTTCATTCCCTACTCCCTACACCTATTTTCTTAAATTAGAATTTTGATGTTGATGTGTTACATTTATGGTCTTAATTTACTTCGATTCTAATCTGATAGCAAGTTAAAATTCCTTGTGATATAGGGCTTCTAATCATTGCCAAGTAGAATAAGTAGGTTAACACACAATAGCCTAATTGAATAAACATATTGTCATTAAAAATTACAACCTAGATAAGGGATTAGCGGATTCATTGGAAGGGAAATGCTGCATAGCTAAATTCTCTAACTATAATATGGTTTTTAACTCTTCTTATGGCCTTCAAACAAGCTATGGAGGATTTTGTCTTGGTTGTCAACAATATTGTGGATTTCATAGGAAAAACATTGAGAGGCTACTCGATCGATGTCACAGAAAGCTTTCATCCTTGCAAAGATTAACAAAACCTAATAAGATTTTAGAACTTTTTATCTACAAACTAAAACTTCAAACTAGGTTTAACGGTTTAGTGAACTAGAACTTCTTCTCTTATTGATACTTTGATAATTTTTATAGTGGGGTCAACATACGAACTCTTTATTCATATGTTACTTGATAGACTTATATACTTATATGATCGATGATCTGTCTCATAACAAATTTCGAACATCACAAATCCCTTAGCCCAGATACTTTTTTACAAAATTGTTTCAAAAAATGTGGGACAGAATCATTAGAAGTGACTTCATGAGGGTTCAAAGATAGATGAGAGATGCAATGCCAAGGTTCATGGGCATCACAGAGTGGCGTTGGGGCTTCCACTTCTACAAAAGCTCGCGAAATTGAACCCTCGACGCGGCATTCCATAGGATTATGGAAAGTCTCGCGATCACAATAAACCACAAAAGAAAATCGTCCAAATTGCAGATTGCAACCCAAATTTTATTTTTTTTCTGATTTCTTTCCTATTTTCTTATTTCAAAATAAGGCATATTCTATTAGGAACCTATTCATATGTTTATTTTACTATTTTGAGGGACTTTTGTCTTATTGTTATGTTATTTGGAGATGTTTTCTCTTGTTTTCCATATTGGAGCATTGCATCTTTGGATTTCTTTCAAATGGCGTGCTTATAGCCTGATAGAATCAAAGTGGTTCTATCTCTCGGACCGTAAAGAGACCTCCTTCATCGTCCAACTTGCAGCAAACTGTTGTTCGCAACAATAAAACAATTATTTTCCTTTCCGGTTTGTTGTGTTGATGTCATCCACGTCAGAATTTTGATTACCATTTGTCCTCCCTATCCCATTAATCCTAAAATTTCCCTAATGCCATTTTTATATTCCCAAACACCATTTGGAACTGTAAAATGGTATTGTCTAGTATTAGAGCCCGCCGAGCCCAAGATTTTAGTTTTAAGGGATAGAGACAACACAATAATATCAGGTCCACATCAACCTTTAGGCAGAATTCAATCCCAAGATCAAAAAGCAAAAGTACACGCAGCGGAGCATCCAAGCAAACCCAACCAAAGAAGAAACCAATTTACATTGGAGAACAGATGGAGTCAACCAACACTCAAATTTATCCCAACCAGGAAATATTTCAAGTGCCATGATTTTGTGCACATTGTATTAGATTTCTCAAACATGAGAATGATCTCCTTTACTGAATAGAGAGTGGTTGAAAAAAATGGAGAATGATGCAGGAGATGAGGAAAACGTTAGAGAGGAGTATCAACTTCCAGCTGGCAACGGAGAGACACTAGTAATTCAGGTTGAGCCCCTGGACACTAACAAGACTAACATTGTTCGATAAGATAATGAGTTTGAGGAGCCGATACCAGAAAAGGAGCATCCCCTATTATGGGAGTTGTCGGATATTTTGAATGACAGCTTACCTCATGGATGGTTAACAAAAAGAGAAATCCAGCATACCATAGATTTTATTCCAAAATTTTTTTTTTTTTTTTTTTTTTTTTTGCCAAACCAGCTCTCCCATGGGACAAAACCGACCAATTATGAGAAATTACAAAAAAAAATGTAACACACTTGAGGGTTAGAGATTTGGTTTGTGAGATTACTAGCCTAGATACAGCTTCAACTCTAATTGTGCTGAAGAATGATGATTATTTATTCCACCAAGGTAGACTTTATAAGAGCATACATGTTTCAAAGTTACCTTGGGTTGACATGAGAATAAACTTTGTAGTTGGGCTCCCTTAGCCACAGCAGTACAATAACTTTGTTGTGGATATAAATTGATTTTGGAAGCCTCCATAAATGAAGAAGCCACTCCTAGTCAGGGGGGAGAATGACATGGGTGACAGCCAAATCCCATGGAATTGACCGCACAATGTGGGATTCCACAAGATCGCGAAAAATCCTATGATTGTGGTTGGTTGAATAGAAAATTCCTCTGAATCGCTGATTTCTGCCAAAATTTTCTTTCTTTTCTGATTTCTTTTCTATTATCTTATTTTTAATTAGATTAGTTCTATTAGGAACCTATTTATGAGTTTCTTTTGTTGTTTTGAGGGACTTTTGGCTATAGTTATGTTATTATGAGAAGTTTTCTCTTGGTTTCTCGATTGCAGTGTTGTATCTTTGGATTTCTTTCAGGTTGTGTGTTTGTTGTATCTTTGTACACACAAGTGAAACAATCATTTTAATGCCTCCAAGATACAAGTAGTAATGTAAAATGAAGTCACCGCTCCTATTTTCCATCATTTAAACAGTAAAAAGCAGGGAGCAACAATTTAAATTTAGCATCACAGACACTGAACCCAATTTTAATCAAAATTATTTGATTCAAACTGCAACATTATTTTCAAACAGCTGACATAAACATATAAGTATCCATTATCATGCCAAATTCCTAACCAAGGAAAAAATTTAATTCATTCAACAGGCGATTAGCACAATAAATCTCTTATAACCATGTTAAAGAAGGCACCAATGTAGAGCCAGAATACCAGATACAGGATGTATGATTTTAGAGTAGACAAAATCAAAGCATCAAGAGAATAGCTTATAAAGATTTATGAAATGGAGTAAATCTAAACAAAGTTGATCACATTTATTTGCTCCTTCAAAATAGGGGAGAGGCAAATCAAATAGCAGTGACAACTTTGTATAGAAAATAATCCTATTCATTCCTGCATTGCACCAATCTCAATGTCCACTTAATATGGAGTTCACATGATGGTTTAACATTTATAATTCCTTTCAACTCATTATTGCTTCAACTGTCGATAAAAAAAGGGCAATGATGTTGTTTATATTCAAACAAAAAATATCTACCGCATGCAAAACTTCACTTATACAATTATGCTAATAAAACTTGTGGTTAAAATGGATTTCAGAGAGAAATTTAAGGTATTAAAGATCGTTGTTTTCAGGAGAGAATGCAACAAATGAAATAAAAATATGAAAACAACATAATGTACAAACATCAGTTTCACAAAATTCACCAAAACACAAACATAAAAAAGGAAAAAAATATGAGAAATATAACCTTTGGAACTAAGCGTAGCTGGCGACAAGTGCGAATTTTTCTAATTTCCAGTTTATCTCCTAAAGCATGCCCAACACCTGGAAGTGTCGTGATGGGAAGATCGTCTAAGAAATGTTCAACCTGAAGAAAAGGAAAGCATTAAGGATTAAAAAAGACTATAATCATTTAAAATTAAATAAAACAAAAGGATGATGCATTCATTATAATGGTGAGAAAGATGATGCCTACTCTTATACTAACACTAATTATCATTTCCATTTATGTTCACAGAAACTAGGAGCATGAACGTATGGGTGTAGAGTTATGAAAATAAATGCAATATTTGTACTCATGTAGCACATTCGTAAGCCTGCAGGCCTGCATATGAAGGCACTATCACAATATACCTCTGCATTAGTGTCCTATTTTCGCAGCAATATAATTTTTATGGTAAATAGCTTATGAGTCCCTCAAGTCTAAAGTACAAACTGATAGAATACTGTTAAAATTAAAAAAAAAAATCAGTTGTCCATATTTTATGTTTTATATAGATCTTTTAACATATTAAAAAAAAAAAGACAAATGCCTTTTTATAGAAACCTATAGATCCTTTTATTATGCAATTTTAATTTAACTTCTTCTGTCCTTATCCCTCACACTGAAAGAGTAATGGGAGTGTTAGCCCATTATTACCATTCTCACTACATAATTGTGTGCTTGGTGTTTCATCCGGATACCAAGGAAGAGATTCTACAAGGAGGTGATTGAAATAGGCATGAAGGTGCTAACCAAATGGGCCATGAAAAAATCTATGAAGGGTAAAGGATAGGAAACAGGTTTGTGATGAACGAACCTATACCTAACTTAGAACTAAAATATGGTCCAATGAAAATAAAAATTTCTTACATAAAAATCATATTTCCAATTAAGCCAAACTTGGTCTGCACTTCCGTCACAGATGTCCCTATCTTGTTTGAGTCACCTCAAAAGTGCCCCTCATCACCTCTACTCGCTCACACTCCATGCTTGGGTTTCCCATACTGCTCATCACCCACATTCATTCTCACCCCCGTTCGATCAAAGCTTCCCATCATCTATTCTCAGTTTTTAACTCCATCACTGGTGTGCCCCATAGAAAAAATCCTACTTGTTGTTTCTTACAATTGGTTGTTTCAAAATCATTCCAATAGTTCATCATGAACTCCGGTGCCTTCTAGAGTCAATGCATTGGGCCTACCTCACCATCATCAGAAATGGCATCACCAACAATTTCATTGGTCAATCATTTACCACTTCACTCGTCACTAGCATTTTTCATTCACAATTACTCTTGTTAGTAACTTTGCTCCCATTGATTCAATTTTTTAGCCATTTTAACACACCAAACATGTTAGCAACTCAATTTATGCCATTTACTTTGTCAGCTACCCAACAATTTGGATCAAGTAGTTATCCTCTCTGGGAATACTCCTTTATTACCATCTATTCTAATCGCCATTCCATTGGGATTTCTCACCTCGCGATCATTTGTGGTGGATGTTTCTCATGTTGAGTGTCTAATTGGTCTTTCATTGAAATTACTGAGTGATCAAAAACCTCATAATCTCAGGATCCATCATCCAAATATTTATCTTTATTTCTTCAAAAAGCCTCAAACTCATCTCAGTACGACCTCTACATTATAGGGTAAATCTAGTCTTAGTTTGGACTAAAGCTTAGATTTTTGAGCTAGAAATTTCAATCCCTTTCAATATTGAGGGCAAATTTTCTGTGGACTATCCCAAAAAATCCACTGAAGAAATATACAGATTACACCACACTAAAGCCTCTCTTCAACTTGAAACACTCAGGTCGCCCCTCTCTTTCGCACAAAGAAAATCGTGAAAACCTTCCTTCAACACACAGGCACATTTCACTCAACTCTCTAGCAGCAAATGTCCAAATATGAAGTCTCGAACTTGAATTTAGTTATATGAGCCTACACGCCACCACCACGCGTTGGGTTTATGGGCGCACTATTCCAGGGAATGATCTAAGCGTGGTTGTGCCCCTCCTAAGAGCTAGGTTTCCTGACGCTTACTTCCAGAGGCTTCTGTTAGGTGCCCCCACTAGCACCAGGGCAACAATCCAGGCATTGGGGGGCTCCAACCACCCCAATCAGACTCTATACATAACAATCTCTCACTTGGAAACTTGCAACCATTTTCTCTCCTTTAGATCTAGACCATCTCCATAGTAATGTATTGTAGTGTAGCTCAACTCCATTCTCAAACTTCCAGAACTCTAACTGAAGCCAAGCATAACTTCAGTTTCTCATTGTAACAATCTTAGTAAGCATATTTGCAGGAATTTGAGTTGTGTATCTTCACTAAAGATAATTGATCATTTTCTAAGAGAGAATGAATTAAGTGATATCTTAGCTTAATGTGTTTTAACCTGACATAATTTAGCTAGATGAATGGCACTCATACTGTCACTCTAAACATTTTCAATCCCTTGTTTCTTGCACAGTTCTGCCTTAAAACCCTGTAGCTAAATCATATCCTTGCTAGCCTTAGTGATAGCAATATACTCAGCCTTTGTAGTTGAAAGTGCAACAATCTTCTACAGCCTGAAAATCAAGCTCACTGTTGTGCTCCACAAAGTGAATAGATAACATATTGTACTTCTTCTATTATCAACATCTCATGTTAGATCTAAATCTATATATCCAAGTAGATTAATCTCTACACTTTGCAAAGTGTCTTGTTAACTATTCATCTCAAATATCTGATAATCTACTTCATCGCCTCTCAATGATGTTTGAATGGATTACGCGTATATACTTATTGATCGCTTCCATTGCAAGTGCAATGTCTGGCCTTGTGTATATCATTGCTTTCATCAAACTGCCAACTGTTAAAGTATACATAACTGTTTTAATCTATTTTTGTTTTGCTTCAAACTTTGGTGATTGTTCCATGGATAGCTTAAAGTGACAATATAAGAAGGTGCAAATTGATGTTGACTCACTCATATTAAAAAAGTGGAAGACATTCTCAACATATTCTGTCTAAAGCAACTTTAAAGTACTTGCACACATGTCCTCACTGATTCTCATGACGAAAACTTTTTTTGTTAAGACATTAAAAAAGTGGAAGACATTCTCAACATATTCTGTCTGAAGCAACTTTAAAGTACCAGCACACATGTCCTTACTAATTCTCATGACGAAAACTTTTTTTGTTAAGACATAAATCCTTCAATTCACTCCCTGGATAATTGCTCCATCAAGTCTCTGATTTTCACCACATCTGCTCCTACAATCAGCATGTCATTCACATACAAAAAAATCACAGTATAGCAATTATCAAATTATTTAACGAAGCAACAAGGATATTTCTGACACTTCATGTAGTCCTTGTCTGACATAAATCTATCAAACCCCATGTACCACTAAGTTGGTGCATGTTTCAACCCGTAAAGGCTCTTCTTAAATCTGCATACAATATCATCATTGCCCCTTGGGTCACCTTTCACGAATAACCTATAAACGTAGTCACATATCACGACCTTGCAAGCTTATCCACAAAAATCAAATTACTCTTCAAACATGAAAAATGTCTAAATTCATTAAGCTTTCAGACTAATCCATTTGACAACATGATATCAACATCACCATTTCCAACAATATTGTGAACATTGTTATCTCCCAAATACATCTTTGTTAGATCACTTTAAGTGTAAATTTGGAACACCTCTTCGTTGGGACATGCATGAGAAAAGTCACATGAATCCATTATCCATGATTCAGTGCTAACTAGTGACAAAACAAGAGAGTCACCTAGATTTTATTTGTGGAATATTTGTAGAGTTTTTTATCTGAACCTCCAGCACTAACTTTCTTTAGATCTTTGTTGTCCTTCTTGAAGTAGCATTTCTTCCCCAAATTCCAACATTCACCTCTATCACTTCCTCTTCATAACTTAAAATTTCATCTACTAGACTACAATCTTTTCCTGTCTATTTTTCTATCAACATTATTTTCTCAGTTTTTAACATTCATAACAGAATTTGAAGTTGAACCGGTCGCCTTCTTACGAACTTCTTCATTCAGGACTGACCCAACAATGTCATCAAAGCTTAACTTAATGTAGCTTGTAGACTTACTCGCCGCAATGACTATTCCATCCCAACGGTTTTGAAATGAAGACGTGAGTAATAATGCCCTGACCTCGTCAACCAACTTGATGTCAACATAACACAAATGATTAGTACCAGTTTTGAAATTATTCAAATGCTCAGCCATTGAACTACCATCCACTAACATAATATTGAATAATCCCATCATCAAAAAACTTTTATTGAAGTTGGAGGATTCTCGTACATTCATGTTAGTGCAACTATTAGATCAACTTTAGTTTTCTCATTCATAATGTTGAAAGCAATGGGTGAGGAAAGTGAAAATCGAATCAGACCTAAGATTATTCAATCAAGCACTTTCTATTCTTCAAAAGTCATTGATTCTGGTTTCTTGGTAATTCCAATCAAATACGATTTTTTTATACAACAAATCTTCGATTTGCATTTTCAAGAGAGTATAATTAAAGCCATTGAACTTCTCCACCTTGTAACTCGCTTCGTTTGCAATTGCTCCAACTCGAATAAAAAAACCTTCAGAAAATTCAACTCTGATGTAGCTTGTTGGGGTAAAAAATATACAAAGAAATATAAAACACAGATTCGAAAGATTCAAAACAAAACTTAGAACAAAATCACATAAAATATGAAAACACAAGAACACCAAAATTTAACGTGAAAAAACTCGAGAACGGGAAAAAATCACGGAGTCACACCACTCCAAGAAATATATAATGAAGAAATGAGAAGATATATACATATTATACCACACTCAAGTCTCTCTACAACTTTGAACACTCGGGTGGCTCCACTCTTTCTTTTGCAAAAGAGAAATCGTGAAATCTTTTCTTCAATGCACGAACACTTTGCACTCAACCTCCATGCAACAAAAGATGCAATATAAAGCACCAAACTGCAGAAAGTTAGTTGCAGGTGCCTAGGTGCCACCCCGGGCATTAGGTTTCTAGACGTACTATTCCAGGGAATGATCTGAGCGCGGCTGCACCCCTCTTGGCCGCTGGGTTTATTGGTGTTTTGAACAAAGAGACACTCTGTTGGGTGCCTAGCAGTCGCTGGGTTTATTGGTGTTTTGAACAAAGAGACACTTGAGTTTTCTGTTGGGTGCCTAGCAGCAGGGTGTCATTTAAGTCGTTGGGTTGCTCTCACCATCACAATCAGGCTCCACATATAACAAGTAGTGTTGGAAACTTGCACGATATATTGGACACCCATAGTAGATAACTAGAAGAGCTGAGAGGACTTACAGCCACAGGTCAACCCCCTTGGAGTCCTTCCTAAGCAAAAATATTGGTGCGGCAAGCTGTTGGAGCAAAAAGGCCAGGCATCCTCACAACATGAACGAGGTTGGATCAGCTATTCATTCTTGAAGTTGAATTTTTATATCGATTGCAAAAATTCCAAATTGAAATGTATGTTGTTGCTCTGCCTTGTAGCTAACTTTCATGTACTCCTTATCAAATTCCACTTGTGCTAAATAGTTCCATAGTATTATTGAAGCTATCTACTCTCATAAAAATTTACCACTCAATTTTAATCTCTCTCTCAATGTCCAGTGGTGTCAGAGCTCGACATTATGATGTGAGGTATTGCCTAAAGCTAGCTTAAGAACTCACCATGGAAGGCTTGCAAAGAGAAATTCAATGATTACTTCTTAGCGTGTGGGAGTACTAGGATTATAAAGTCCATTCTTTCAACTTGAATGATAATCAAGAAAAACAAAAATGGAAAATATTTTTATCAAGTGACCAAATTATCATAAGCCCTAGTCTACTTAAGCAATAGAGGTAAATAATCCAACCTGATCAAAAGATTCTTATCAACAACCATAGATTACATCATCCAAGAGGACCACATAATTTTTAGCTGATTTTGCATAAGGGGTCAACCTTAAGCTTATATTGACTAACATAGAGCTTTGTAACTAATCAAATGCATTTTATGGCTTACAACTAATAGATAAAGCAATTGAGGAACAAGTAGGAATTGGCATTAACCATTATATAATAAGGCCATCTTGCAACAAATCACTCAATTAAAGGGCACACATCATTCCTTAACTTAAATAAATTATTTAAGCCTAATCACGTGAATACACTTGACATAGCATTGGTTCTTTATGAGCTTTAGACAAACTTAAATTTATCACCTTCGTTAAACTAATAGAAAGGATTGTTGTTAGATGGTTGGTTACTCTAAAAGCTTAAAGCATCATTGAACATTGGATATTTAAATTATTTCGATTTGAAACTGAAATCTTGCAAAAAAGCCCATTATAAGGGCACTTGCATGGTTGAACACGGTTGCATTGGAGTCAACTCCATCACTTGCTGATGGATGATAGGATCAATGGTTTAACAAGTATTTGGCTTGACTTAAGCATTGATCGTGTTATAGAATTTATCAACTTTACCCACTATTTAAAGGATTGGGCTTGAGAATTGAACTTACAGTGGTTGAGAGCTGTCTTTCAACAAAGAGGTCCTAGATGGCTGGTTACTCTAAAAGCTTAAAGCATCATTGAACATTGGATATTTAAATTATTTAGATTTGAAACTGAAATCTTGCAAAAGTGCCCATTATAAGGGCGCTTGTATGGTTGAACACGGTTGCTTTGGAGTCAACTCTGTCACTTGCTGATGGATGATAGGATCAATGGTTTAACATGTATTTGGCTTGACTTAAGCATCGAGTGTGTTATAGAATTTACCCACTTTACCCAATATTTAGAGGATTGGGCTTGAGAATTGAACTTACAGTGGTTAAGAGCTGTCTTTCAACAGAGAGGTCCTAAATTCAAGGATATGCAGTTTGTGTGTGTTTGAGTGTGTGTGCTTGAGTGTGTGTGTAAAAAAAAAAAAAAAAGAACTTACAGCTTGCTTTGTAAGCAGGTGGCTCTCAAAGATTCCAGAACATGTTTGGGTATGTTCGATATTGCATCATAATGGACATCTATTATGAACATGCCAGTCAACATTTCTTGCCATACAAAAGTTTTTGAACTATATGATTGAGTACGAAAAAATATATCACATGTTTCCACAAACTTTTAAACCAACGAGCTCAGATTGCTTTCTAATTGTGAGCAGGTTTCCACAAACTTTTAAACCAACGAGCTCAGATTGTTTTCTAATTGTGGAATGTGATTAAGGAGACTCAGAAACGCTGGTGCAACTTTTGTGAAAACGCATAAAGGAGGTTTTCACTAAAACTAGAGGGTACAAGGGACAGACATCGGATCCTGATAAGTCACCATAAAGAAGCCCAAGAAACATTGCCAGTCAAATATGATTAAACAGTAGTTACCACGAGGCATAAAAACTTCGAGTAAAATTAACAGATCCAATTAGTTGCATGAGCACCTACTTTTTCAGGGGGAATGAAACATTGGCCATTTGGTTTAGCAATTTTTGTAGCTAAGCGAGCAATGAGCAAATTTCCAGCAATCCCAGCACTTGCTGTGCATTGGGTGGTCTCCACAATTTCTTTCCTTATCATTGATGCAAAGTTCTCAGGGTCATCGTAATCACATTCTGTAATATCAAGAAAAGCTTCATCACAGCTTAATGCCTGCATATCAAACATAAATATTTATTTTATCCGCAGCAAAGAAGCCAAGTGAAGCAGGAAATAATTTCCTAGCGCTATTTGTAACTCCCACACAAAGATGCTTGAATGGCTAAATATGTCATTTGGACATTTAAAAAAAGAGGCAATTTCATTGTACAGCGTTTGAAATGGGATTAGACTCCAACCTGAACATTGTTACAATGTTTGTGCAATATACTGTGGAACTGATCAGCAACCTGCAAGCTCTCAGAAAAATAAATTTAAGAAATAATAATATGAATGAGATTAATCAAACTTAATGCTGCAAAATTGATGAAAAATAGCCAGATTAAAATTTTAAAAATGTATAATCACCTCTTCATATGCAATAAAATCATAAGGAAAGACAAAAAGGTTAGGGCAGCAATTCTTAGCGTCTCGTACAAACATACCAGCTCTAATGCCTGACGAAGGATAATATATTAAACGATAATATTTAAATAGTACTCAATACTAAGTCATTAGAGGATCAACCGTAGAAAGTGACTTGGGAACAGAAAATCACCATAGCCACGAGCAGGATAATTAGCAGAAGAAATTTCAGCTGTTCCTTTAGAATTGTTTGAATGGCAAACAGCGACTGGCTTATCAATCAGCTCAGGATACTTTCTTAATATAACTGAAACAAAAAAGCAATCCTGGAAAAGCAGGAGAACTATTAATGTTGAATTCCAAGAAAAAAGTGTCACAAGTAAAAAATATTCTAAAAAACTTCTTTCAAAAACAAATTTTAGTCCAAAAACTGCCATTGAAGCAATGTAAAATGTCACAATATATGAAGAATGATTACCATATCAATGTGGATAATGTAAGATTTATTTGTGGAAATGGAACTAGCATTATCCTTGCTACAATTTCGCTCAAGTGTATTACAAAATCGTCTACGGTATCTATTTCTCCAGGTCCCAATGAAGTGCAGCCTTGAATGCTGAATCCAAGAAATAGAGATAAGCGAGAATTCCAGTAAGATAAAAACTGAGACAAACTATGAACAATTACAACATCTCTAGCCTTCTCAAAACATAGAAAATGCAAAAAAAAAAAAATGCAGAAAAGAAAGAACAAAACAACTAAATTACCAAATGAATTAAAAAAAATCATGAGGTACTACCCAAACTAAACGTCTAAACTCACTCTTATCTCCATCGAATTAAAAGACATTAAAAAAGCAATAAGCTCTCATGAAAACTCTACACAAGAAAGCAGTTTATGCATTAATATTTCTTCTTCGCAGATAGTTAAGCTTTTGGAAAATAAATATGTAAGTTTTGGACTGGGGTATTTCCACCCTCATCTTCGATCAAGCCAACCTCAAAATACTTTCTCACAAAAATTACATCATGATTACAACTCATTACATACATAGTGTTATTATATCCTTCCCAATAGTCACATGTGTTTCATATAAATCATGAAGCTGCTCGTACAGTTCCTCGGTAACTGACAGCATGGCATCATCTGTTTTCAAGATCTAGTACAGACAAACAGACATATTGGTAGATTTGATAACACGGACTGGGAAAGAAGCCAGCATTGGCAAAGTTAACATCATGACCCATTAGCAAAAAAAACAGAGAAAACTTAAGCTAAGGCAATAGATAATTTATCTGACTTTTCTTGAAATAAATTTTTATGTATAGATAAGGTGAAGCTTTGGTGGAACATTGTATTTATGAAGCAAACTTCAGTCTCTCTGCCAGGGAAAAGAGAAGTATATGAGATATAAACAAATAAAAGCGCATCCCATCAATGTTTTCCAATGCACCTACAAAATTAAAATCATTTAATCATTGTTCATCAAAAATGCAAATCACATAGGCATTCAACACCTGTTATTATGCCAATAAGTTGAAGGAATTTTTAAGGCCTGAGTATGTCCAACCGAGTCATACTTGGTCAGACAGAAAATGATGGTTATCAGCCACATCATAATTCATCTTAGAAAAGGGCATTATGGCATGTTAACATGTTCTGAGGAGTATGAGACTTCTGACAATATCCATGCTCTCTAGTTTTATCAAACATCTAATTACTCGCATAATGAATTTTTATAAATAAACTATTAGAAGTGCATCTAATGAAATTGAGTGTATTATAAGCAAATGCAACAAAAGTTTGGCAGGCCATATAAAGATGCTGCAATGCTACAATTGAAGTCCAGTCATTTTTCGCTTCTTTTTGCTTCTATCTTACCAAATACCTTAACCAAAGATGAAATCAATATGGCAAATTCAGGATCATTCTAGAAAATCAAAGTGTATGACTGAAATATGAGCAAGGAAAAAATTATTTCTATTCATATGGTTCTAAATTTGTTGAATGACATTAATAAAGCTCAAATAAAACTATATCCTTTGAGCTGAGGGATGATTATACTATATAAAGTAATTCTACAAATGCCAATCTCATTCAATGTAATTTTCAGTAACTTCAATTGTTGCAGAATGCATTCTTTGATTACATACATCTCACATCCACAACTATGGAATTATCCACAACATTTTATTAGCACAACCTACATACAGTTGAGGATTAAAATTTCCACCATTAATGATGTATAGAAAACAAACCAACTGAGCAAAATATGATGCAATTTTATCAAAAAGTGAAAGAACAAAAGCTTTGAAACATCACACAAAGCTCCTGTTGTACAAAAAATTCAGTGAAAAGGTAAAAGAAGGCAGCAAAATATGTCAACTGTCAAATTCGAAACCTGAAAGTCTAAGCACAATTCAAATACATGGCAAGTATTCTCACCATAATATCGAAGCAGTTATTATTGACAATAAGTGGCAAGAAAAACTTCCGGTAAAACTAAGAAATATGCATTTTACTAAAAAAGCATGCATCTGGAATATGATCTTGTAACTTCACTGAATACGAGATGGGAAGAAAATAAAGTTTTATAGTTTCCTTATATTGGCACAACACTATGTAGACCCAATTGAAAATAAGATTTTGTAAATAACCACACTCAACAAAATATAACTGATTTAATACAGCAGCGGGTGATTTAAAAAATTATGGCTCGAATCGATTAACTTGCAGCACTTGCACTAGAAAAAATAAATGCCAGAAAGGTTAAGTCTGAGTGACCATAATTTATAGATCATTTACTAGAAAAACTATGCTCAGATCCTTAGATATCACCTCTCTATATTCCCTATGCCTTCTGAAACACAGATTCACGTGACCTCTTACATCATATCATCATTTTAAATTGATGTTTTACAGTTAAGTTATCAACTAATGTTAAAGGATAGATCACCCAATTTTTTAAAAGTGTTGAAGGTCGACATCCTCATGCATGCAAAACACATGACATTGCATAAATATATGAATCTGTAAGGAATATTTATAAAAGCATGTCTGCAAATAAATACGAATTATTACATTACAAGCTAAGGCATTGCCCGTTCAAGCCCCGAGTTTGACAAAGCCAAACTATGGTCCATCTAGTTATGGCCCACACTGATCCTCCAGGATTACCTGTTTAAAGCACTTTGGTCCAATCTTTTTTAATAAAAAAGGTTATTAAATCTCAGTTAAAAAAAGGAAAATGAATTCCTCTATCATTATTTTTTCACCATGTTTCAAACATAATATTCATTTCATTTGGTCCATTGACAATGAGTAATTTAACTTCCAATTATAACGAACATAGCAAAGGAAGTAAATAATGAGATAGACTTAGGTGCCTATTTTTGTTACAAAGAGAAAAATCATGTGTAAAGGAAGAACTAAAAAAGTAAGAGGAAAAGGTTGAGATAATCAAAATAATAACGACAAGGGGAGGAAGGTAAGGGGCGATGAGAGGGAAAGAAAAGCCTCAAAGCTTAGTGATAAAGGATCAACTTATCACAAAAGAACATGGAAAAGGAAAGCCATTTTTTCTTTTCATAATTAATCATCTTGAAGTAAAATATAAGGGAACTATAAAAATCAGTACTCACAATATGAAGGAAGATTTCTACAGCATCTTAAGTCTAAGATTTTGTCGACTCCAATGAGAAGTGAGTGATTAAATTGCATCATAGCTACAGCATCATAAAAATGAAGGAGCTTCTCTATAGTCTCAAGCAACTGACATAATCTCAACTGTCATCACCAAGTTACATGCTAGCAAGAGGTGAGAAGAAAGAAGGAACGAGATTAGTTGGACTCTTCGCATGGAAAATGGACTGGTAAATAGACCATGGAAGTAACCAAGATCAAAATCTTAAACATTTTTTACCTAACATAAGGTTTGTGTTTTTTTTTTTATTATTATTATTACTTTTAACGATCTTACATTGACATTTTACATTAACCATAGTATTTCACTTAACGTTTCATATTTTTAATTAATTTAATAGAACAAATTTAAGTCAAATCTCAAGAAATGCTTAGAGACTTATGCATCCCCACACAAAAAGAAAACACCTCAAAAACCGATTTGCAATTTCAAACCTTAGTCACACCTAGTGAGAACCTAGATATCGTAAGAAACTGTCAATAACCCTTAACAAATTTACAAAATTTCAAGCTAACCAGTTTGCATCCAGAAAAAAGTCAAATAGTGGGTTTTCAGGGAACTTTTTGAAGCTCGGTAGACTGTATGTTGGCATACAAACTTTCAATAATCAAAGTATTTCCTTCCGATAAGCTATGTTGTGAATTACAATTTGAGAAATAACTCATCATGATCAATGACACTAGCATTATCCCAACTACTTGGAATTGCTAAAATATTTAGATGTTAAAACGATAAACGATTCCAAAAATTTTACCTTGAAGTAGTTTTCCACAAAATCTGGATCGGTAAGGGTTGAATGATGGACATCAGAAGCTTGTAGGCATTTTGGATTAGTAGGTTCTTCAGAACTTACGGCATCAACACTTACATCATCAATTCGACTGCTGAGGTGAATGGAAAGCTGAGTTGAAGTTGCATTAGATGCCTCTACTTCAGTTCCCTCACCCAACAAAGTAGTAAACTGTGCACCTTTCTCAAGCCCAAATTCATCATTTACTTGGATGGGTTGATCAAAAACTTTACTTTCTAGTGGTAAAGGTGTGCCCTCAGATTTCTCCAAGTATTCCGGATCCACTTCATCATTGGGATCAGAAGAGACTTCAGCATCTTTAATACTTGAGATGTTTTTGCATCTAAGAAAAGCAGACAACTTCGTCTGTTTATATATTTCACTTGATTGCTCAACAATTTGGTAGGGTGACCCTTCAGGAGTACATGAAAACAAGGAGCTCAACATTAAAGCCCAAAAAAAAAATGCAAACATATATAGGGAGCTCCTAAAGTAAAGATAAACTGCATGTTCTTGTCACCGCAATCAACATTTTTCAAGAGATATGTTCATACAGAGTAATTTCCACTACTATACTGAACCAACATAAGAAGATAAGCAAACAGAAATTCTACTGTGGATATCAAAATTAAAGCAGTTCACATTTTCACAATTACAATCACTTAGATAAATATGTTTGAAGCAATGCATGCAGGATGTTTCTCCAAGAGATGATAATTTAAAGAAGCTTTGAGATGGAAAAAACCATCTAAGAAAACATAACCATGTTTGCAGCATGTTTCTTATGAAATGAATGGCTTCCTCCATATTTTTTAAAAAAAAACATGTGTTTCTCCAAGAGAAAAATGCACTAGAAAGACACAGATAGCCTAGTAGAAGAAAACACGTACAGTTCAAAAGTTTGTTTGCAGCGACAGAATCCACCACCCATGCTGGTCTCAAGACCGGCAAACCTCGGCTGAACGCCCTAACAAATACAATAAGAGAACTAAAACCAGAAAACCCAATTCATACATAATTTTCCACAACGCTTTAATCTACTAACCTAAAATTCCTCATTTTGCTATCAGGAAGATTGCTACATATGATATGGCTCACACGTGACCTTGAGAAGTAGTTCTCGAGTCGCCCTCCATGCCTCAGCATATAAACCCTAAGTTCCTAGAGAAACAAACGTCCAAATAATCCAATTCATAATTTAAATAAAGAAAGATGTTCCAAATAAGAGAGGAGAATGAATAGAATAGCGGCAAAAATAACCTGGCTGGATGGAACAGTGTGCCCATCGACAAAGATAGAGACGCCGTGGAAGATGCCCTTGCCTTTCCCAGAAGACGAGGCCTCGCAGTTCAAGATTGAGGAACTCGAAGCTTCCTCTTCAAATTGAGACCTAAGCTTGCGATTCTTCTCCGCCATGTAGCTTCCGAAATCAGTAAAGGAAGATCTCTGGAACGAGGTTTTAGGGTTGGGTTTCCTCCTCTTCGCCGAGAACGATGAAGCGGATGATGAAGAAGAGGATCTCATGGCGGATTAAAGACAAGGAAGACAGGGTTTTTGAACGTTGAGGAAAGGGCTTCGCGGTAAGGAGTTAAGGGGGAAGCGGAGGATATATAAAAACGGAGATTAAAAAATAATGGGGAAAATCTGCCATGGTTTTATTCTAATTTAATTATTTCAATAAAAAATGTTAATTTTATATTTTTTTAAATACAATAACAACAAACCCTTAGGGTCCGTTTGCGGCAATTTAGTTGGTGTGGTTTCGTTTTGAAAACGCACCTAGCATGTTTAGGTAAACTGTGTTTTGGCAGCTTATGCGTTTTCAAAATGCTGGAAATAGTATTTTCACACCGCATATATCTAGGTGTTGCGGAAGTTTTCTGGCTACGGTCTGACTTTTCAAACAAAATAAAAATTTGTAATAGTTATCACACCTAGCTTATCAGCACATTATCAATAAGCTACAGCTGCCCCAAACAGACCCTTAATCCCACTACATGGGATCGGCTACATGAATCTTTTTTCTCCATTGCGTCCTATTCAGTGTCATATTTTCATTTAGTTCTAGC